GGCTGAGCCGGGCGTGCTGCCCAGGCAGCCCAGCCACGGCGTTGGCTCCCGTGCTGCAGGCTCATCCCTTCGCTTCGCTGATGTTGCTCCTCCGGGACGGCAGCGGGAACGAGGTGGGAAGCGGGGAATCCAGCTTGGGCTTTGCAGTGATGAAGGCACCAAGGTCCCTGGAGTGGGTATGGGGGATGCAGGTGGAGAAAATCCCCCTTCCCCATCCCTGCTGGTGTAAAGGCTGCCGAAAACCAGGGGAATGGAAAATATGGGCATGGGCAGGTCCACAGATACTTTATCAACATCTCCCTTTGCTGCTGATCTCAGCGCTGGGGATCGAACCTCGGACCACCATGCAGAGACGTGGTCGTGCCACATGGCATCAAACCCAATGAGATGCCTTTTCCTTGACTTGGGTGCTGAGATGCGTCCTCCAAGCTCCTTCCTGCCCCTATTTAATAAACTCTGTCTTTGTTTTTGCCCAGAAACCAGAGTCAAACCCACTGATGAAATAGTCACTGCGCGGTGTGGCAAGAACCCCAACCGTGTCCTGGTGTACATGTTTGTGCCGCCGAGCTCGGAGACTTCCAAGGAGATCCTCAGGACAATTGCGATTGAGAAGGAGCCCATGGAGGAGGTGGAAATCTACAACTGGAAGCTGATTAAAGGTGAGTGCCGTAACAAAACCAGCCAGCAGCGGAGGAGGTGTGTGTGTAAACCTGGTGCTTTCCAAGCTTTGTTCAATTTTTCAGGTTTTTCTTGTGGTGCTCCAGACCTTGTGTAGTGAGTTGAAACCTGCTGACAGCAGGTTGGCTTTTCTAACTCGCCTCTTTTGCACTCTTTTGCCACAGTTGCATGCAGACCAGGGGCTGGAAACCACTTTTGGCCCCAGGGTACCCCGCCACGAGCTGTAACACCATCCAGAGGCACAGCATGTGGGCAAACAAGGCAGAGGCCATGAGGCTGCTCCTCCAAATCTGCCTGACTCCATGCCAAATGCACATGGAAAACAAACAAAAAAATGTTCTGGTCACTCCATATTTTTGCTTTTGCTCTTTTTTTTTTTTTCCCCCCGTCCACCCATCACTGGGAGCAAAGCTTGCAGAGCTGCTGCGAAGGTGCACACAGTGGGGGTGAATTGAATTGCCCTCAACTCACTTTTTGGATGGGTGGATTTGGATGTTCTGGTTGATGTGTCCTCCAGAACTCAAAGCACAGCAAATACACTGTCAAATTACACCAATCTCTTGCTCTGTCCCCATACCTTTGGCTGTGGGACTCTTGTGGACCAGAGGAGCCTATCTCTACTAGGGAGACTTCGTCCAGTAGATATTTATGTTGTGTTTCCCTCGGGCCCGGCCAAGCATTGCAGTGCCCCAACCCCGAGTCTCGGTTGGACATACTCTAACCCTTGCAAAAACTTGTGCCTTGAGCACTTGAGCTTGGTCGCACCCTAGTGTGGACCCAGTGACCCTCAGCCCATGTAGCTGGGTGTCTTCTGCATGGGTGTAGGCAGATATTCTGGTCTCTTGGGTATGTTCCTGTCTCACCTCTCTCCATAAGGAGACCTCAGTCTTCCTGAGACTGGCTCTTCCCAGGCGCCGAGAGTGGGCACATGTGGATAGTAGTTGGAGAAATTAACTCCAGAAATGGAGCCCTGGCTGCCACCATGTTTCCATCCTCCCCCTGCCATCCTCCATCCTCCACGGTGCCCCTCTCCCCGTCCTCCCCCCCGCCTCGGCAAAGCCTCCTTCACAATGGCACCTTGTAGCTGGAGGACAGCTCTGAGCCTGCACTGTCTGGGCCCCACCATTTCCTCTCCTCGCCCCTTGGCAGAGGTCGCCACCCAAACCTTCTCGCCACCTTCTGAGGCCAAAAGCTTCGTGTCTGCACGGAGCTCCTGAGCCCTGCCAGCCAAGGACAGGGGAGGCCCTTGTCCCCGAGGCCAACACAGCTCTTTTGCTTGGCAGAGTGAAGTGTTACTGTTGGGAAAGAGCATGAGCTCAGTCACATATGGATTCTACCTCTCCATGGTCCATCACTCCACCAACAGAGCAGCGTGTGTGGAGAAAAGAGGCTGCAAGTCGCGCCTGGAGCGCGTCCATCTGCCTTTGTATGGGCTTATGATACCTACGTGGCCTCATCTATTTCTGTGCCGGGACCGTTTCCTCCACGAGGCAGGAGTTGGGAGGAGAAACCAGCGCCAACACCCAGACAAAAGCTTTACCCAGCTTGCTGGTGGTGCACGGCCAGCTCCCAGATGAGTTGCAGTGGGGGCTTCCCAATGTTTTTAGGGGTCTGAACACCTCAGGAGTTTTGAAAGGTGACTTTCTATGTTGTAGAGCAGAAATTATCATGGAGAGTGAGGACAACAAAGGAGCACGCAGGATCAGAGAGGGACCAGCACGGTTTTGAGGCTCTGTCATTGACTCTTGCCCTTCACCTTGCATTGCTGGAGGTGCGATCCCCCCATGGGCCTCTTTCCCACATTCACCCTGCCAGGCTGTTTATTAGATATTGATCAAAATATGCCTTTCTATCCTGAAAACCCGCAGCTCTGGGACCTCCAGCAATCCCCAGTGTTTCACCAGGCTGGTATACCCTCACACCTGGGCTGGAGGAGACCTGCGGGGTCCAGACCAGCCATCCCCATGCTCTTCTGGCATTTGCTTGAAGATCTCCTGCCCCAAAGACTATACAGCCCATCTAATCTCTTCCAGAGCCACAAACCCTTTCCTAAGTAAGTGAAGACTTTTCCCAACGTGCAGCCATCCTGCAGCTCGAGTTCATGCCTTCTTGTCCTCTCCACTGTGGGTGTGAAGAGCAGACTCCTTTCCTCTGAAGATGCCATCAGCTCCCACCTCTGTCCTCTCTTACACAGTTTATGCAGTTGATTATTTTCAGTCTTTCCTCAATGTTAGAAATTTCTGGTCTTTTGGTCCCTCCCGTAGCTCTGCTCTGTGTCTGTCTTGAAATCCGGAGCCCAAAGCAGGGTGCAGAGCTCTGGTCAAAAGTTGTGTCCTGCTGGAATGGGTCTCACACACCCATGTGCATCCATGCTCCTGTCTCTGTCCACCCACCAAGGCTTTGTTTTGCAGATGATTTAGCAAGTCCTGAGACCAGTTTCTTGAATTAGACTTGCTTCACTCCCCAGCCCAGGGTTAAGTACCATGTTTAAAGAGTCATGTTGGTTCCCCATGTAGTCAGCAGAGAGAAGCAGTTACGATATGTCCCGTCCACCCATTTAGGATGGGCAGAATGGCATGGCAGAAGAGCCTGTCTCTCCCTTGTCTCTCCAAAATTAGGAAAGAGGAATTGCTCCCTTGGAGATGGGGCTGGGCCTTAATTAATTTGTTGTGCTCTCCTGGACTCTGCTTGGTTTTTGGTCCTGAGGCAGTTCCTAAAGCATAGAATCACAGAATCACATCACGGTTTGGGTGGGAAGGGACCTTTCAAGGCCATCTAGTCCAACCCCCTGCCATGAGCAGGGACATCCCCAACTCGAGCAGGTTGCTCAGAGCCCCGTCCAGCCTGACCTGGGATGTTTCCAGGGATGGGGCATCCACCACCTCTCTGGGCAGCCTGGGACAGTGCCTCACCACCCTCATAGTGAAAAATGTCTTCCTTAGATCTAGTCTGAATCTGCCGTCTTTCAGTTTAAAACCGTTACCCCTTGCTATAGGCCCGGCTAAAAAGTCTGTCCCCATCTTTCTCCTCAGCCCCCTTTAAAGCACCGAGAGAGCTGGTAAATGCCCAACAGCCCCACCACCTCCCTCCACCTCATCCTCAACTTTGGAATGAACGATCCCATCTGTCGGGCAGGATCTGCTCGCCGGGAAATGGCATCACCCTTCACCAGCTCCATGCCGTGATGCCTCTCGGGCTATTCCTATCTGCGCCGCCTCGTGCTCTCCTTGTGCGTGCTGGAGCATCGTCTGCATTCCTCCCCTGCTCCCCAGCTCCTGGCATCTGTCAGAAGCGACCATCCGGCTGGCCAAAGGTCTCAGCCAGCTCTCCGAGGGCTCTTGGGTGAACATTATCTAGGTCGGTTGATTAAAAGATGTTTATCTCTCGCAGCTCTTGTTTAAAATATCCTCTTGGTTACTAACGTACTGGAAAGTGCTTCATCAGCCACGGGGACTATAAGCACACCCTCCTGCTCCTTTCTAAGTATAGACCAGAAGGATTTATTGAACACTTGTGCCTTTCTTGCGTCATTAACAGTTTTATTATCTCCATCCAGTATCTTCTTTTGTTACTGGTAGGACTTCTTTTCCTGACCCACTTATAGGACTTATTAATAGTCCAAATATCCACATATTTCTCCGGATGTCTTTGACTTCCTGTATTAGTTTTCCACAGTCCATAACATCTCATTTATATGGATTGCGAGCCGGTTCCCATCCGCTACATACTCTCTTCATGTGTAATTGCTTCTGGGAATTGGGGAAAGTCTCTTAACCAAATAAGGGGGACCACGTGCCGGCAGCGAGGAGCTGGATGCGTGAGGAGCCTGGGTGGGAGGTGGGGAAGGATATGCCAGGCATACCTGCCCGGTTTGTCACGCCTTGCAGGCGAATACGGGTATCGCAACCCCCAGCCCCGCAGAAAGGTCGCTTCCGTTGCTAAATGCAGGTTCTGGTTTTCTTGGGTCAAACGTCTGAGTCAGGCACCTCCGCTAACGGGACGATGCTGGCACAGGCAGAAATATCAATCTCTGCTGAGGTCATTTGTGGTTTTTTCTGTCCTGGAGGAGTTTCAGGGCTGGGGGCAGAGGGATGGAAAACTTCGGTCCCCGGCTGCTTCCAGGAAAGGAAAGCATCTGAGGATGGAGGGACCTCTGCGGTCGGGGAAGATGGTGGTTGAGGGTGAGCAGAGAGGACGGGGTCCCAGGATCCTGGTTGGGCTCACCCTTATTTCTCCTGTGGCTGCGGGGGAGATCAGACCTCCTCCGGCGCGAGATGCTTTTCAGAGCAACAAAATCCTATTGCTTCCACCTGCTTCGCGGTGCTGTCCCTGCTGTGTTCCGATTTAACGAGCAGTCACTGTTTTCAAATGAGGTTTCTCCTGGTCCTTGGCCAGCCCTGGATTCACTCCCAAACTCCCACCAGGCTTTGGCAGCAGGTCCCGCACCGAACCGGGACCCC